AGTTAGACCAACCCACAGCTGACCCTCCAGAGGGTTTTCAGAGGAAGCCAGTCACATGGGAGGAGATTTCCCATCTTTGTCCTGGTGAGCAGCTTGTATTTGAGCCATATTCCTTTGCCTAATGGCAAGAAGTGCAAAGACCCTCCAGATCAGAGACCTGGCTTCAAATATTGATATGACAAGGAGTGGTTGAGTAGGGGACATATTCTTGGCCTGGCGTTTCCAAAAGAGAACTATTCCCACTGTAATACCAAGAAGATTGTGGCCACCCATCCGCTTCTTCGCAATGTGTAGAGGGTGACTTAGGTTCTGCATGGCCTGCAGCTCAAGATGAACATTTTGCAGTGAGTATATGGCAACTGCTGTTTTGGAGAGGAGTCTGAGTTGACATGAAGAAGACAGAGATGTGTTACACTGGGGACATGAGAAGCCACAAAATGAATGAGAAATAGCTGAGTTGGAGACCTTTACTAAAAATTTTCAGTAATTATTTGATTGGTGAGCAAAATAATAGGGAATTTGGCTAGAAGGGATGTTGTTGGTTCCTAGCATAGCTGCTACCTGTCAGTAAACTCTGTATCTCTTCATGATTTGCTCATATAGAGAAGCTGTAGGCCATCTGGGGTTGTATCCTGACTTTGACTGGTTCCAAGTTTGGGGAGTAACATCGAGAGTGAATTGTTTGTGGTAAGCTCTGATAAAAACCTGTGATGCTTTTAGTACTTCAGCTTAATGCTGTTGAGTCAGGACTGACTTACAGCTCATGCTATATAGGATGTCAGTGACTGTAAACGGCACAGGAGATTGCTTAACTTTCTCCCTTGGGGTAATTGGTGGATCTGAGCCACTGGCCTTTGAGTTGGAAGCACAGCTATCTATTCATCAGACCTTCTTATTTTGTATGTTAGTACTTGTTACTTTTAGGTGCTATCATCAGGACCACTATGACTCACAGTGGACCCTGTGAACAACAGATCTGAGGCGTGCCCTATCCTGTGTCATCCTCACGATCTCCAACCTGCTTGAGGCCATCATTACAGTCACTGTCAGTCCATCTTCTCAAGGGTTGTCATCTTTCTCTGATTCATTGCCTTTACCAATATGGTATCTTTTACCAAGGACTGGCCCCTTCTGACAACAAGCCCAAAGCATGTTAAAAAATTTCACCATCTTGAGCTTTAAGGAACACCTTGTTTCCACTTCCTCAAAGACAAAGTTTTTGGTTCTTTTGGCAGCTCATAATGTAATGTATTGTGGAACCAGGCATGACATCCACTTTCTAAACAACATGCCTCTCGAAACTCTATGAACTTTGAGAATCTATAGTTATAGAAAGGCTTCAGGTCTTTTGTTCATAGGGTCACGATGAGTTGTGCTCAACTCGAAGGCAATCAACAACAACTACACACACAGAGATAAACATATATAAATGTGTGTGTCTATTTGTATTTTTATTAAATAGAAATGAGAATAAAAAACATGGCTAGTATTTCTTTGGGAATAATGGACATAATCATTAATGTGATGACTCAATATTTGGAAGCAGGAGTGGCATCCACTTCCTAAATAACATGCCTCCTGAAACTATGAACTTTGATAAATGTGAATAGCTGTAGAGGGGATGCCTCCTGAAACTCTATGAACTTTGATAAATGTGAATAGCTGTAGAGGGGCTTCAGGCCTTTTGTTCATAGGGTTGCTATGAGTCGTGTTTGACTTAAAGACAATCAACAACAACAACAACAACAACAACAATATTGATAGTTACACTGATTCTGTATTGTCTTACTTTAAAAAAAATGTAGGTAATGATGATGCTATTTAATAAATCAACTATATCTTTACCTGAGTACAACTAAGAAAAGGAGCCAGAAGCTCCTTAGTGGCAGTTCTTTTATGAACTAAAAGGAAACAATCATATTAGATGACTATTGCCTATATTCACTTTGTTTTTAGTCTTTCAGAAAACTTTAATATTTCAAATAAACATAATAACTCTGAAAGAGTGACTCATCACATGAGATCTATACAGGGAATTTATAATGCCAACGAGACTGAATATGAATATTGGAACACATTATCAGGAGTCTAGCCATATTGCTTATATGTATAAATTTGACTAAATGTACCAATGAGGAACTCCCCAGTACGAGTGCAATGGTTTATACTGGCATTTTCTATGTTTGCTCTTGCCATTTGTGATTCATGGGTGCTTCCAATTTCTTTTCTAATAACAAAGAGGCAGTTTTGATGGCATAGTCTATAGAGAATTGCACTGCTGTCTCAAAGACCCCACTTCCCTCTCTAGTGGTTCAAAGAAAAAAAACAACCTGTTGGAAGGTAAACTATGGCTTGATTCTGACTCAATGAGTTTCTAAGATGTCTATCCTCTTTTAAAGAGCCCTCACAGTGCAATGGCTAAGTGCAGGTATCAAAAGAACCCTAGTGCAAACCCAGCAGCTGCTTTTCGAATGAACAATGTAGTTGTCTACTTCCGTTAAACTTAAGGCCTTGGAAATCCTATTGGATAGTTCTACCCTGTTCTAGAGTATCACTATGAATCAAATCAACCCAATGGCAACAGGTTTTTCCATTCTTCTCAAATTCAAAATAGTTGAGTTTGTTACAATTCACAGCAACCATTCACTGCATAGAGATCTTAATGGAAAGAAATTGCACTTCTTTCTCCCTAAGAGATATTGTTTGATTTGAACAGCTAGAGATGTGCAGGTTTTTTATTTGCAGTGCAAAATGCTACAGACGATGCAACCAGAGTTCACTTTAAGTCCTCTGTTGTTATTGTTAAGTGCTATCTAGTCAAAGATGACATATAGCAATATTATGAACAACAGATCTGAACTCTCCCTTGTCCTTTGCCATCTTCAACATCTCTGACACATTTGAACCCATTGCTACAATCATCATGTCAATCCATCTCATAGGAAATCTTCTTCTATGTTGCTGACTTCTCTGCCTTTCCAAACATGATGTCCCTTTCCAAGGGATAAGCTCTCCTTGCAATATGCCGAAGTTTTCATACAAAACTTTACCATCCTTGCCTCCAAGGAACACTCTAATTTCACTTTCTCCAAGAAACATGCTTGTTCTTTTGACAGTCTATAAGGTATTCAGCACTCTGCTCCAACATCATAACTTAGAGGCATCCTTCTCTCCTGTCATCCTTATTTATTATCGAGTTTTTAGAGCATACATAGCAGGTGACTGGGAAGACTAAGGTTTGAATTAGGTGCACCTTGGTCTTTAGACTGACATCATTGCACCTCAGGATTTGGGCCACATCCTTGACAGAAGACTTTTCCAATGCTCTATTTCCACAGATCTCCTGACAATTGGTAGCAAGGGTATTGATTATGGATCCAAGAAAGAAAGATGAAGTTACTGATAATTTCAATCTTTTCTTCTTCATCTATCAAGATGCTGCTCATTGGGTGAGTGGTGAGGATTTTTATTTTCTTGATGTTGAGATATAATTCACATTGGAGGCTGTAGTCCTTGATCCTCTGAGTCAAACGTGTCAGGTCACTTTCAACAAGCAAAGTATATCATCTGCATAACTCAGGTCTTTGAGTCTTCCTTCAATCCTGATACCACATTCTTCTTTGTAAAGCTAAGTTTGTTAAATGATTTGCTCAGCATTCACATTGAATAGGTATGGAGAAAGGATACAATCCTGATGTGCATTTCCCCCAATTCCAAGCTATGCTCTGTTCCCTTGTTCTGTTCAGACAACATCTTCTTGACATAAGTATACGTGTTTCGGAATTCCTATTCTTTGCAATTTTAGCCACAGTTTGTTATGATCCACATGATCAGATACCTTTTAAAACACAAAGGGACTTTCTTCTAGGTGGAGAAAACTGTGCTCCGCTGTTAACTTGTAGTTATTGTGTAATAGAGTTGGAACCTACTTATAGCTGACCCTCCAGTGGGTTCAGAGGCAGTTAATTACAGGGGATGAGATTACCCATCTTTGAACTGCAAGAACAACAGGTGGCCTCAAATCAAGTGCTTTGGGATTACAGTGCAGATTCTTGTCACTAGGCCACAACAGATGGCAGTTCTCACCTGCCTGGCCTCAACTGCTGAAGACAAACTCTGACAACAATAGGTTTCTATTGAAGATCACAATCAAGCAATCCTCATGTATCACAGATCTATGTAACCAGTGGGGACTGAATCAATTGGATGACAACAAACAGCAGCAGCAAGATATCCTTCTATAAAATTTGCCTGTGCTAATCTACAGAATTCTATCATTTATTTGTGTACATTCCTGACCCACATAATCTAGGAGTCCTTGAATCTAAAAACCAGTCTTAGGCATTTTGTATTTTTGTTTGTTTGAATGTCTGAATAACCTGAACAACATTTTCAAGACTTTTTTCCAGTATAATGAGTGACTTAATGAGGTAATACAGAATTGAAACATTTTAAAATAAAAATAAATTATAGGACATATTTTCAGAACAGAATAGTCTTCACAATGAAGATCTATGAAGATCACATAGCATTTATGATCTCAGCATTGTTCCTATCTTGCAGTAAATCTAGAAAGTCTCATATTTAAGTGCTACTTTCATATATTGTCACCCTTTATTTGAATGTTTGTGAATAACACTGGAGACACTACCTCTAAAATACTCTCTCTAGTTATAAAATAAAGGCAGTGATCAATTTCAAGGCTTTGAGATTATAATTTTCTTAGCAGGGAAAACCAAATGTAGATAACTCAGTATGGATTATAATAAACACATTCATAAAAAATCCTATTAACTTAAGACTTAAATGGTATTCTTCCCAAGAAATATAATACCAGCAGCTAGTTTAGAATCTGAGACAGAATGCAGTTTTTTGACACAAAGCTTGTCAAGCCAGAGAACACATCTTTTAAGGTAATAGAATGAAGTTCTACTCTTAAATTCAAGGGTCATAAATAAAGTACACAAATGCAAAGTTCATTAAATGAAGAATAATCTCACCTGGACAGAGAGCAATATTACAAGGCTTATGATGTGTTTCAGGTCCTTCACATGGCCTTCCTCCATACTGAGGAGGGGTGCATGACCTCGTTCGCGTTCTTTGGCCTCGACCACATGTAAATGAACATAAACTCCATGGAGACCACTCCTCCCAAACTCCATGTACTGTAATAAAGCAAAGAAGCTTCAACCTCAAGAGCAGAGATAAAGCCAAAAATACTTTTCTTCATAATTAAGAAACAACAAAAGACCTTATCAACCAGTATGAGAGTATTATAAAGACAGAATTGAGATAACATTCTCATTATCCTTTAAATGTAAAAATGATTTTGGAAAGCTATTTTTATCAGTACATATAATTCTTTTATTGAAGGGAAATGTACCCTTTTGTCACATGGCAAAGTGGTTATGAAATGTTTTTAGTCGAAGTAATATCAGTTAACAGTATAGAATGTCATCCAGAAATAATTGCATTCAAGTAAGGGTCAATTTAATTCAATAATCTGTAAACTTGCAGGATTAATGACTTACTTCATGGTTTCAGAAAATGAGAAAAAAGTAACAATTAATGGAATATATTTTTAAAGGATTTTTAATCTCAAATTCGTCTTTTAAAATTTTGGGTGTTTAATGTCCTAGTCTCTAATAGATAAATTTTAACCTGTATCCATTTGTATAAGATCCTTCCCTTCTCTGTTTTCAGCAGAGTGGCAAATGAAGGTCTCCTTCTAATGATCATGAAACCAGAAGATGCCATATTCTCCCACTAACTTGGTAACATTTTAAATTCTCCTAAGAAGCACATATTTCTAAAAAGAACAATTATTTGTTATTATATGTAGCAGAACTATGGATATACTGCTACTTCAAATATGCCACTAACATGAATTCAAATTTCACAAGAACCTATCTTTAAGAATAAACACTTTTTTTGCAAACGTGCAAAAAGTTACAAAAAAAAAAAATCAGATTCCTTCCATGCATTGTCAATTCTGTAAACTAAGATAATTCCTTAATATTGGGAACAGTAAGTAAAGGGACCCTGTAAACAATACGAACAGAAAGAATGGGGGGAAATTTTTATGGCCAAAAAGTATCTCATTGTTGCTGAACTTCTGGTTTTAGCAGAATTTCAAGAGTTTGGATGTTTAACATACATCACTCAATGGACTGTTGCTATGTCCAGTCCAACTGAAATCGACTCATAGCTGACCCTCCAGTAGGTTTTCAGAGGCATTAAGTCAAAAGATTGTCCATCTTGTCATCACAAAGCAACTGGTGGATTTGAACTGTATGCCTTTGTAATATTTATATAATGCATCTATATAATCTATGCTTGTAGATATATCTAGAAACAAAACAATATATTTTCTGACCTAGCAGTTAATGTTTAAACATGTATTATTGCTGCTGTTGCTGTGAGCTGTCAAGTTGGAAGCATTGCTGATCATCCAGTGGGTTTTCCGAGGCAGTATATGGCACAGGAGGACACTGTCTTTTTCCCATGGAACAACTGGTGGATTCAAATTGTGTGTCTCTGTGATTGCAGTGCAGTTTCTTACCACTAGAACAGTAGAGCTCCCTTGTGATACCTTAACCGTGAGGTATCCCACTCCTTCTTATTTTTAAAACTAAGTTGGCAGAAATGATTTATGTAATTTTAAAAATCACCTCATTTCTTTAAATCCATGAAAATCCCTTAAAATGACATGAAATGTGTTTTTAAAAATTTTTAAATAATACATAAAAATATTTGAAGAATGCTAAAAATTAAGATGTTTAAGTCTTTTTTCAGGAATGTCTCAGAAAATCATTATTTTTAAGCCAATTTCTATTTAGTGTTATACGAATAGATAGTAAGTTTTCTTGCAATCCCATGAAAATTGTAATACATAGTCACACATTTGTATACATGTATACATACACCCACATATAAAAATTAAAGAATATTTTAAATTAATTCAAGTGAATATATTTTTCTGTGACATGTATATTTTTATCAATTTAAAAATTTATTTCTACTTACCAAACTGACCCTATTTTTTTAAAACAACTCTCCTATTTTCTACACAAAACGTTAACAATTCCATGTATCATTCTATTTTGTTCATCTATCCTTAAATATAAAATCATGTTGCTTTATAAGCTCTGCAAAATTACAAGGTAGAGAGTTTCTAAAATGAAAGATTTTTCTCTATTAATATAAAAAATGTTGATTAACCTTGACAATCTAGTTAAATTATGACATTGGAATCCAATGAAAATTAATAAGTTACTTAATACTTTTCCCAGAGTCTATTCTTTAATCATGAAGTTCTATGATTCATTCTTAACATTTTAAAAAATAAAAAAATACACACACACTGCTTTTTTTGGAAATATTTAATCAAACTCAATATAAATATTCATTCTCATTGCAAAAGGATTCAAATTATTATAAATTTATATTTGATTGCATTAGGATGGAATTATAACATATCTTATGTTTATAGCTTATATTCCTAAGATTTCTTAAGAAGTTTAGATCTTCATTTAAATGGAAAATTGTTATATAAATACTTTATTTTTCGGCAAAAAAGAAAATGTATAAATTATTTAATTCACTTCAAAAATTTACTTACTAAAACTAAGAAAGTTAAGTTAAATTAATCAAATTTCATAGCTTTCTGTTTAGACACTGCCTTAGATACTGTCTCTGGCTTAGACAATAATTCAACTATCACATTTCACCTTTGTGCTACTTAGAGGTCATGTGAAGAATAACAATACATAGAGTATTATCCTCCTAGATTTTAAAAGAAATATATACAAATTTTCATATGATTTAGATTGAGGTTTACATAAAAAAGTTGTTTATGTAAATTGTTTTTTTAAAAATAATTCTAAAAATTGGTATTAATAAAAATATTTAAAAT